GACGGCGGCGCCGATTTTGACCGCGCCTGCCGGTGGCGATGACGATGTTCTTGCTTCGCCGATGAAGGAGTTCGACGTGCGCGCGCGGCCGACGCGCCCGAGTGGCCCGCGCGGCATTGTCTGACACGGACGCGCCCCCCCCTCCCCCCCCTATCGCGCGCACAAGGGTGTTCGGATGATTGCGACGCGCGGCGCGAGAGGCCCGTCTGACAGAGTCTGGTGACAATGTTGACCAACCCATGGCTTCGCTTAGAATTCGTGAGAGCGCGCGCAGGCTTGTTGTGAACGCTGGTGTTGCAAACCATGTATTCTCACGAATTTGTCGGATGCTCGTTTTTGGAATCCTTGCGACCCCTGGGGTTTCTACGAGATTTTGGCGCGCGCGACGACGCGCGCGCTTCGTTCCGTTTTTGGCAGCGGGGGTTCTTCCGACAGCGCCCGCGCGAGGGCGTCCGAGCGATTTCGTCGCGTTCGCGCGAGAGGCCCGGTTGGTAGCATTTTATGGGGGCGTTGAAAACCAGCCGTTCCCTATGCATCTGCGAGAAGGCGAGCGCTGGCTTTGTATCGTTGCGAAGCACTATATATAGGTATACATCTATGTGCCCCTCGCGGAACCTAAGGTTGGGGGGGGAGTTCGGGGTGCGCGCGCCGCGACGCGCGCGCGTGCGCTTGGCCCAGTTTTTTTCTGCAGGGGGTTTGGGCAACTGCTTGTTTCTGATGAGCGAGTGCGCCCGCGTAGTTGTGTCCCAGGGAATGAAGGGGGGGGGGGGGGGGGGGGGGGGGCGGATGCCGGCCTGCTTGGGAATGGTGCGAATCCATGTTAAGGATGGGCGATGGGGCAGAATCGCGCGCGCATTGCAATGCTAAAAGGGGGGCAGTGAATTCCGGGGGCGGGGGGGCGGATCTCGCAATTCGTTCTCGGAGGGCAAATGTGCGCGATGCAATTAACTGCCCTGCGCCGCGCTTGACCGCCGCCGCTGCTCGCGCAAACTCCCCGCCCACCCACCCGCAACTTGGTTTGCAAAAACTCTTAAGATCGTGGCGGTGGGTGCCAGGTGGCACTTGGCAACGGTAGCGACGCCGATGACGACGGCGACAACGGCGACGACGACGCCGCCGACGACGACTACGACGGCGCCGACGACGTCTCCAACGACTTCGGCGACGCCGACAACGACGACGACGCCGACGACAACGACAATGCCGACGCCGACGACGACGGCGACGGCAACAACGACGACGACGACGTCGACGCCGCCGACGACGACGACGACGACACCGACGACGACGACGACGCCGCCGACGACGACGACGACGACGCCGACGACGACGACGACAACGACACCGACGACGACTACGACGACGACGACGGCGGCGACGACGACGACGCCGACGTCGACGACGGCGAAGACGACGACGCCGACGCCGACGACCGACGACGGCGAAGACTACGACGAGGTCGCCAAAAAAGACGACGACGAGGGGGGGGGGGGGGGGGCGACGGCGGCGACAACGACGACAACGACGACAACGACGAGGGAGGAGGGAGGACGGCGACGACGCGAACGACGAAGGAGGAAGGACGGCGACGCCGACGACGACAGCGATGAGGGAGGAGGGTCGACGACGACGACAACGACGACGACGACGACGACGGCGACGGAATAGGAGGGGCGACGACGAGACGCCGACGACGGACGACGATGTCGACGAGGGAGGAGGAGGAAGGACGACCACGGCGACAACGACGACGGAAACGACCACGACGCCAAAGTGGACGACGACGACGAACGCGAGGAAAGACAGAGGACGACGTAGGCGACGACGACGACGATGACGCGGGGGGGGGAGGGCGGCGACGACGACGACGACGCAGGAGCGCGCGCGCACGCTTTCGTTGAACATACGTGTTGCGAGACCTTGTGCGTTTGTTGGTTTTTGGGCGCGCGATTTTGGAATCCTCCCGGAGCCGATAGGTTTTGAAGGATTTCGGCACGCGCGCGCGACGACGCGTGCGTCTGCACTTCGTTCCATTTTTTTTGCAGAGGATTATCGCGACGGCACGCGCGCAAGGGCGTTCGACAGATTTCGGCATGCGCGCGCGCGAAGCCCGTTTGTTAGCATGTCGTGAAAACCCGGAACAACTTTTGGTTTGCTCAAGATTACGCAAGAGCTCGCGCGTCAGCTTTTTTAGCACATCAGTGTTGCGAAACCATTTTTTTGAAGCTCGATTGCGAATTCTTTCCGACGCAGAAGGTTTTTGGAGGGCATCGGCATGCGCGCGCGACGGCGCGCGCGCGCGTAGACTTCGTCTTTTTATTGTGCAAGGTGTTATGGAAAAAGTTTGTTGTTAGAGCCGAAGATGTTCCCGCGTATTGTCTTTTACAAGGGGGCCTCAGAGGCGGCCGATGCCGGCTCCCGGCCCCCCTGGGGTGGTGTAAACTCATATTTAGGATGGACATGTGGTTAGAACCGTATATGGTTTACATGCCCGAAAGGGGGGGCGAGAGCGGGGGGTCTATTCTCTTTATCACAAGGAGAATCCATGGCGTGTAAATTCACGTTGCCGAATTTGAAGTTGTCGACTCCACTGCTCGCGCAATCGCCCCGCCCGCCCACCCGCAACTTGGTCTGCAGAACCCATGCGGAAGCGATTGCCATGAGTGCTTGGCGTTGGCTGGTGCATCCCCGCGGCCGTGCTGACTCGCGCATGCTCGCGGGCACTTCAGCGTGAGTTGGCGACTCGTGCGGGCGCGGTGCCATGGCAACGTCGACAACGGTAGACACGATGATGATAGTAGGGATGCTGCTGGCGATGCTGACGGCGACGAGGGGGCAGCTAGTGGCGGCGCCGATGCTGATGGCGCCGACGACGACGACGGCGTCTGCGCGTGGGCGATGGAGGTTTTGGATTGAGTTCGACACGCGCGCGCGGCAGACGCGCGAGAGTGGCCCGCGTCGCATTATTAGACGCGGATCGTGCCACCCCTGCGCGCGCGCAAGGGGATTCGAACGATTTCGACATGCGCGCCCGCGACGCCTGTATTGTAGCATTTTACGAAACTGTTGAAAACAGCGCATGGTTTTCTCAAGTATTCGCAAGAGCGCGCAAGTTTTTTTTTTTTTTTTTTTTTTTTTTTTTTTTTTTTTTTTTTTTTTTTTTTTTTTTTTTTTTTTTTTTTTTTTTTTTTTTTTTTTTTTTTAAAAAAAAAAAAAAAAAAGCGCAACCTTGTGTTATATATATGTATATATATTTATGTTTATATATCTATATACATATGTTTTTGGGCACTCAATTTTGAAATCCGCACGGAACGAAAGGCGTGCGAGGATTTTGGCATGCGCGCGCGACGACGCGGGCGCGTGCACTTCGTCCCTTTAGTAAGTGATTGTTGAAACTTGATTTTTCTTGATAAGCGAATGTGCGCGCGTAATTTTTGCTGCAGAAGATTGCGCTGGAGGGGGGGCCGATGCCGGTTGGGCTGGGATGGTGCGAGCTCATATTTCGGATGGACGATGGGGCATAATCATATCTAAATAGCAATGCGAACAGGGGTGCCGATAATCCCGCGGGGTGGGGTGGGTAGATTTTTTTTTTGTTCTTGTTTTTTTTGTTGTTTTTGTGTTCCCCCCTTGTTAATAACAAACAGGAGAATTGATTTGTACAAACGAGTTGACACATTCCATGCTCTGGCAAATGTCCCACCCACCTACCCGCAAGTTGGTCTGCAAAACCCATGCGGCGGCGAGTGCGATGAGTGCTTGACGCTGACTGGTGCATCTGTGCGGCCGCGCTAGCCCGCGCGCGCTTGCGCGCGCGGCGGGCAGCCAGTTCGGCGCGACCGACGCGGCCGCGGTGGCGCTGACCTTTGGACACTTCCCAGCGGGCACTTCTGTGCGAGTCGGTGCCTTGGGTGGGCGCGGTATCATGGCGACGCTGACAATGGTAGACGCGATTCTGAGAGTAGCGATAATGGCGACGGTGGCGGCGATGGTGACGGCAGGGCCAACGGCGGCGCCGGTGTTGATCACGCCCGCCGGCAACGATGATCATGCCCTTGCTCCAGCGATGCTGGTTCTTGAAGGAGTTCGACATGCGCGCGCGGCCGACGCGCGCGAGCGGCCCGCGTGGCATTATTTGGCGCGGGCCGTGCACCCCCCAGCACTCGCGCAAGTGTGTTCGAATGGGTTCGACATGCGGCGCGAGAGGCCCGTTTGGCAAAATTCGATGAACATGTCGAAGCCGATGGTTTTTATTGAGAATCCGAAACACCGCGAGCGCATGCTTTCTCTAACACTGATGTTGCGACACCATGTTTTTTAATCGTGTGTTCTGGGCACTCGTTTTTACAAACCGTGCGCAACCTGCGGTGTTTGATGCGCGCGCGACGACCCGCGTGCTCTTGTCGTCCCATTTGTGCAGGGGCGCTCGAGCGATTTTGATGCGCGCGCGAGAGGCCTGTTGAATTGCATGTGGTGAAACGGTTGAAACAGCTTATGGTTTTCTTAAGAGTTCGCAAAAACGCGAGTGGAGGGTTTTTATTCTTAACCCTGGTTGCGAAACCATGTGTAGCCATATGTTTTCGGGGTATTCGATTTTTTTCGCGCATGGATGATGAGGGGGTGGGCGATATCGGCCTGCTTGACATGGTATCAGCTCATATTGATGATGGACGATGGGGCAAAATCGTATGTAAATCGCAATACGAGAACGGGGAGTAGTTAATTCTGGGGGGGGGGGTAGATCCTATTATTTTTTTAGAAAAGAAGATTTAGGCGGCATCGGGGCGGCAACGGAGCGACCACAGCGCCGCCATACCGACTGGCAGGTCAGACGACGACTGGCGACGAAGCGGCGACGGCGACCACATAGCCGCCAAATCGACGCGCAGGCCCAACTCCTTCGAAAATAAATAGAAGCACTGTTTGGGGAATGTTTGAGTCGGGCGTTGCCTCCAACAGGGGCACCTGGTGTCAGGATGTCCTTCTGCGCCCCAAAGGAGTACGTCCGCCTGGACGTGCTCCACCAGCCGCCCGCCCGCACCGACGCGCCCATCGCCCCCGGTGGCGCGGCCTCGCTGCTGCTCGCGCCTAGCGCGTGGGCATCGCGGGAGGCTGCCCTGCAGGCGGGCGGCCCAGAGGCTTTGCGGCGCTTCGTGCCCCAGCCGCTGATCTCGGGGAACAAACGATGACATAAACATAATCGTTCGAAGGTCCGCGCGGACTTCCTGGATCGGCGCTGGAGGCTCCGCCAGCGGGCTCCAACGCCGATCCGAGAAATCCACGCGGACCTCCGAAAACTCATGTTTATGTCATCGTCTGATCCCCATTTGTCTGAGCTGGAATCCCCGAGACGGCCAAATCCCTCACGCAGGTGGGAGGAGGAGCAGGAGATCAGCACCTGGCCAGCTCTTCTCGTCGTCAGGAAGTCACGGCGGGAGGTTTGCTTCACAGTGACTCGGGACCGTTAGTAAACGGCCCGGGATGTACAGCCAGTCCCTCATGAAGGCCAGATAAGGGAGATACCGTCACCGCTACCCCCCTTCCCTTCAGATCCGGGCGACGCAGAAAATCGCAACGGCTAGGTTTTTATTTTTGTTAGGTCTCTGCAGGCAGTTCCCCTGGCCCTGGGACCGTCGAAAAACGACTCGGGTTGAAAATCCGGCTGGGGGAAGTGGTCGATCTCCTGGGGGATTGACGTCGCGAAGAAGTGAATTACAGCGTTGGGGGCGAGGGTCCCTCGCTCGTCGCCACGGCTGGCTTCGTCTCGAAATCCTGCCCAGGGCGTAGCCTGAGAGGTCCGAGGAGCAGCGGCGGCGGCATCTTTCTGTCTCCCCAGGAGGAGAACGTAGTGCCATCTTGGGACAGCATGGCCATGCACAATTGTCTGTCCGTGGCTGGTTCCCAGCAGGTCTTGTCTGCCTTTCTTTGGGCCTCCTAGATGGTGTCGAAGTAGATGGGGTCGGAGGATCGCTCCGCATCGCCGATGCATCGACGATACGGGGCGATGCGGAGCCAGAATTTTTCTCCGCGCCGAGATTCATCGCCGATCGATGCATCGGCGATGCATTGGCGATGCGGCGCGATCCTTCGACCCCATGTGCTCGGCCCCCGTTTAGGAGGCCTCAAAATTTGCTGCCAGGACGACAAGAATCAGCAATGCAGAGGTCGAGCCTGGTGTGAACAGCGCTGCTCTTCGGCACCGATGGTCTCGCGCCCCGCCCCGCTCGCGCACCGTCTGGCGCAAGGCGTGCGTTCGCTCAGGAGCAGCGCGGCGTCGCCTGCACGTGCTCACCAGGCCGCCTGCCCGCACCTTGGCTGCCCTGATACGCCAGGGTCGAAACCAAAGACGTGCCGTGTTCACAGCGTCCGTTTTGACACGCTGCGGTTTGGCCCGGCACGTGTTTGTCCACGTTTTGGCGGACGTATCGCGCCAGACCTACGTTTTCAGTCTACGTGCTGAGCTCCGTGACAACACGCTGCGGGCAGCAGGTCGCCCGCCCGCCTCGAGGCGCATGGCCATCCCCCGCCAGGTAGCCGCGGCCGCGCAGCTGCTCGCGCCCGCGCGCGCGGGCAGCGCGCCGAGCGGTCCGCGGGCGCGCCGCGTAGCGGCCGCCTGGCGTGGATCGCGGCCCCCGCGCCGTGGCGCGGAAAGGCCCTTGCTGCGCACCGCCCTGTCGTTCTTGCCCTCTTCTCCCCTCTTCCCTACTCCGCCCCCCTCCCCCCTCACCTGCCCTCCGCCCACCCCCCCCTCCCTCCTGCTCCTGCCCTTCTCCTCCTCCGCGCCCCCCCTCCGTCCTTCATTGCCCCCCTCCCTTCTCTCCTCCACTGCCCCTTTCCCCCTTCGTTTCCTCTCCCCCCCCCCTCTCCCTCTTACCAGCCCTCTCCCCGCTCCTCTGCTCAGGCGCTGCGGAGTGTTTTGGGATCTTGACGAAACTCTTAGTGCACCTCGGTGTTCAGCTTTGCCTGCGGGCACTGTCGTGGATAATAGGAGTAGAGTAGACTAGGATAGAGTAGGGTCGAGTAGAGTAGGCAGGGATACGGCAAGTACGGTAGAGCAGGGTAGGGTAGAGAAGAGTATGGAGATGTAGATCATCCAATTCGAGTCGAGTACAGTCGGGTAGAGAACATTGGACGAGTAGAGTAGGACAAACATAGAGTAGAGTCGAGTAGAGCAGAGCTGAGTAGAGTAGAGTCGAGAAGGGATGGAGTAGAGCGGAGTAGATTTGGAGCAAAGTAGAGTAGAGTCTATGATAGTACGGCAGGGTAGAGTAGAGCAGGGTAGAGTAGAGTAGGGTAGAGTAGAGTAGATGAGAGAGTCGAGTAGAGTAGAGTAAGCTAGAGTAGAGTAGGGTAGAGTACAGTAGCGCCCTGGTGGGATTCTGAGCGAGCTGGAGCGAGCCCCAGACGACCACGACGCCGACGCCGACGCCGACCACGACCACGACCACGACGACGACGACGACGACCACGACCACGAGCACGACGACGATGACGACGCCGAAGACGACGACGCCGACGACGACGCCGACGACGACGACGACCACGACGAGTACGACGACGACGATGGTGACGGCGACGACGACGGCGGCGGCGGCGACGACGACGACGACTGCGAAGGCGACGGCGACGCTGATGCTGGCGACGACGACGACTTGGAAGGAGACGACGACGCCGATGCTGACGACGAGAACGACGACGAGCAGAGTAAAGTAGGCGTAGAGTAGAGTAGGCGTAGAGTAGAGAAGAGGAGGAGGAGGAGGAGGAGGAGGAGGAGGAGGAGGGGGATGTTGATGCTGATGATGCTGCTGGTGATGATGATGATGACGACGATGACGATGACGATGACGATGACGATGATGATGATGATGATGATGATGATGATGATGATGATGATGATGATGATGATGATGATGATGATGATGATGATGATGATGATGATGATGATGATGATGGTGATGGTGATGATGATGATGATGATGGGGAGGAGGAGGAGGAGGGGGAGGAGGAGGAGGAGGAGGAGGAGGATAAGAAACACGATCCATTCGAGACATATGTTCTTTTATTAGTACTGCGAGTACCAGTACGCTAATAATGTTAGGAGGACGAGAAAGCAGAACCTCCATACTAAGAAGAAGACTAGGACAAATGACAACACCAATAACCATAATGCGAATACTAATGTTCATATTGCTATTTATTTGAAACAAGTAACTATCCTGGCGACGGACCCAACCATATGCAGTTGTGGGTACCGCAATTGTGAATATTTTCTTCGGTGGAGCTCCCTATGGGGCCACGAAGCGCTGCACTGGGTGGGGGGAACGCATGCGGGCGGTAGAACTGAGGCCGTCGGGCGAGCTCCATATGGGGCCACGAAAACCCGTACTGGGTGGGGTGAAAAATGCGAAATTTGGTGTGTAGGACGCATGCGGGCGGTCCCACTGGTGGCTTCGGTGGAGCCCTCTAGGGCCACGAAACGTATGAGGGGTGTGCCACATTTGGTTTCCAGGACGCATGCGGGCGGTCCCACTGGGGGCTTCGGTGGAGCTCCCTATGCGGCCACGAAGCGCTGCACTGGGCGGGGGGGAACGCATGCGGGCGGTAGAACTGGGGCCGTCGGGCGAACTCCTTATGGGGCCACGAAGCGCCGTACTGGGTGGGGAGAAAATGCAAAACCTGGAATGTGGGACGCATGCGGGCGGTCCCAGTGGTGGCTTCGGTGGAGCTCCCTATGGGGCCACGAAGCGTATGAGGGGTGTGCCAAATTTGGTTTCCGGGACGCATGCGGACGGTCCCACTGGGGGCTTCGGTGGAGCTTCCTATGGGGCCACGAAGCGTTGTACCGGGTGGGTGAAAATGCCAAAGTGGGTTTCCGAGACGCATGCGGACGGTCCCACTGGGGGCTTCGGTGGAGCTCTGTACGGGGTCACGAAGCGCCGTAGTGGGTGGTATGAAAATACCCAAATTGTGTTTCAGGGACGCATGCGGACAGTCCCACTGGGGGCTTCGGAGGGGCTCTCTATGGGGCCACGAAGCGCCGTACTGGGTGGGGTGAAAATGCCAAATTAGATTTCCGGGACGCATGCGGACAGTCCCAGGGGCTTCGGTGGGGCTCTCTATGGGGCCACGAAGCGCTGTACATGGGGGGGGACCCATGCAGACGCTAGCACTGGGACCTTCGGTGGGGCTCCCTATGGGGCCACGAAGCGCTATACCGGGTGGGGGGGACGCATGCGAGCGGTAGCACTGGGACCTTCGGCGGGGCTCCCTGCGGGGCCACGGAGCGCTGTACTGGGCGTGGAGGACGCATGCGGACGGCAGCACTGGGACCTTCGGTGGGGCTCCCTATGGGGCCACGAAGCGCTGTACTGGGTGGGGAGGACGCATCCGGACGGTAGCAGTGGGACCTTCGGTGGGGCTCCCTATGGGGCCACGAAACGCTGTACTGGGTGGGGGGGACGCATGCGGACGGTAGCACTGGGACCGTCGGTGGGGCTCCCTATGGGGCCACGAAGCGCTGTACTGGGTGGGGGGGGACGCATGCGGACGGTAGCACTGGGACCTTCGGTGGGGCTCCCTATGGGGCCACGAAGCGCCGTACTGGGTGGGGGGGACGCATGCGGTTGGTAGCACTGGGACCTTCGGTGGGGCTCCCTATGGGGCCACGAAGCGCTGTACTGGGTGGGGGGGGACGCATTCGGACGGTAGCACTGGGACCTTCGGTGGGGCTCCCTATGGGGCCACGAAGCGCTGTACTGTGTGGGACAGACGCATGCGGACGGTAGCACTGGGACCTGCGGTGGGGCTCCCTATGCGGCCACGAAACGCTGTACTGGGTGGGGGGGACGCATGCGAACGACAGCACTGGGACCTTCGGTGGGGCTCCCAATGGGGCCACGAAGCGCTGTACTGGGTGGGGGGGACGCATGCGGACCCTAGCACTGGGGGACCTTCGGTGGGGCTCCCTATGGGGCCACGAAGCGCTGTACTGGGTGGGGGGGACGCATGCGGGATAGCACTGGGACGGTGGGGTAGCCTGGGACCACGGACCGTCGGGGGGCTCCCTATGGGGCCACGAAGCGCTGTGTGGTGGGGGGGGGCGCATGCGGTCGGTAGCACAGGGACCTTCGGTGGGCTCCCGATGGGGCCACGAAGCGCTGTGTTGGGTGGGGGGGGCGCATGCGGTCGGTAGCACTGGGACCTTCGGTGGGGCTCCTCATGGGGCCACGAAGCGCTGTACTGGGTGGGGGGGACGCATGCGGACGGTAACACTGGGACCTTCGGTGGGGCTCCCTATGGGGCCACGATACGTGTGAGGGGTATGCTGAAACGGGTGATGATGGTGGTGATGGAAGAGGAGGAGGAGGAGGAGGAGGAGGAGGAGGAGGAGGAGGAGGAGGAGGAGGAGGAGGAGGAGGAGGAGGAGGAGGAGGAGGAGGAGGAGGACGAGAGGAGAGGAGGAGGAACGCGGGGCGACGTCTCTTCAACACGAGGACCCAACACCACAGGATGGTTGTGAATAACCTTGCGAGTACTATCACGAATACTCATTTCAACATTCATATGTCTAAACATCAATAGTAGTAATACTAATGTTGCAAATCTCAAGACTAAAACTCATAATGCTGTCAATGCTACCTGTAACAAGAGCGCTCAGACTACTAGTAACGCGAGCATCTTCATTTGTAATATTAAATGAGATAACAATGCCAATGTTATTACCAAACATAAGATTCGCAGTAATAGTATGACTCCTAACAGTAGTAATCGTAGAAATAATACAGATGTTAGTTAGAGTGAGGGGGCTCACTATTTGTTCCCAAGTGCGTGGCTGAAGTGGGGATCCGCGGGGAAGATTCTGCTTGTTGTTGTCGTCGTCCATCCCCCGACCCGCCCGCGACCCACCCACGAAACACCCCGCGACCCACCCCACGACCCACCCCGCGACCCACCCCGCGACCCACCCCGCGACCCACCCGCGACCCACCCCGCGACCCACCCCATGACCCGCTTGTGACCCACCCGCGACCCACCCCGCGACCCACCCCGCGATCCACCCGCGACCCATCCGCGACCCACCCCGCGACCCACCCCGCGACCCACATCGCGACCCACCCCGCGACCCACCCGCGACCCACCGCGACCCACCCCGCGACCCACCCGCGACCCATCCGCGACCCACCCCGCGACCCACCCGCGACCACCCGCGACCCACCCCGCGACCCGCGACCCCGCGACCATCCGCGACCCACCCGCAACCCATCCGCGACCCGGCCCGTTGCCCACCCGCGACCCACCCGCGACCCACCCCGCGACCCACCCCGCGATCCACCCACATTGCTTTAACGAGCAAATCGTCGCCTGCGGCGGGCTCACTGCATAAGTTGTAAAAGCTAGGCGCCTGCGGCGGGCTTCTTCAGAGCCTCGCAGACTGACGACGTCATGGGCGCCCCCTCGCTCTTAGCCGCAACTGCGGGGTGCTACGTAGTAGTACTAACACTCATTTTTATTTTATTTTTGTTCCTTCAGATTGTGATGTCAGTACGAGTACTAATACTATTCTCACCAATAAGCAGTTTATTATTATTGTTAC